AAAAAAAAAAGTAAAAGACTTCTATTTTGAAATTCCCTGTTGAAATCATTTTTGTTCTTTATAGGCAATGGACCAAAATACCCAAGTCTCTCTCCTTTGCCATTTCCTCCTGAAGGAGAAGAAGTGGGCCAGACTGGTGGGAAAGAGGTACACATCATGTTATATCTATTGTGTACAAAGATCGTAGTTTGTAGACATCAGGGGACTTGTTTAAACAGAAACAATGTGTTTTGAGGAAACCTGCAGCTTTGCTATAACTCTGTTTCTTTTGCAGAATCCGAAAGGAGAAGGTCTGTTAGTTTGTTTGGTGTGCAGTAGACGTCAAGGAAAAGTAAAATATTGCCACAAAATTTACTGAAGAAATAATTGTCGTCTCTTTCTGTTTGCAGGGATCAAGGGATCTCAAGGAAACTGGAGGGTCTTTGCAAATTGTCAAGCAGAGTCTGACTCCGCCAGGCCAACAGACTATGCTCTGGCAAGTCCTGCAGGAAAATGATGACACAAACACAGATATTTTGGGTAAGAAGGGCTTCTTTTTGGTTCCGGTAACGCCAGTTCATCCAAGCTGCTATTTTTAGAATGGAAAAAGTTAATTGAAATGTGGGATTTCCTTTGGAGTGAGGAGACAAGAACAGGCAAGATCACAACCAAAGGCCCTGAGACCAGACTGGTCTGTTATAGTAACAATGAGAGGTGTCAGCTGCTCTTTGCACCCAAAAACAAATGGCCTTCAGCCCATTAAAACACGCAGATGGGAGAAAAAAATGCTAGATGGCTTGAGTCTTGAGGTTGCTGTTGCTGGTTTTCTTCCTTCATACTAACTGCCTTTCTAATATCTGTAATACTACCTTATCAAGAACATGAATCTTGCCTGCATGCCCTTCTTATTCCATTATAGGTCAGGATAAACCTTGACTCATAGTGCTGTCCTACGTATTCTGTCTGATTTACATATTTATGTGCTGTTCAGCTTGGTAAGACTCTTGTCAGCTTAAAAGAAGATAAAAAGCCAGCAGGGTGACTTTGGGCCAGTCGTCCTCACTCTCTTCTCCTAGCTATCTTACCAAAAGGTGGCTGTTGCGAAAACAAGAGGCAAGTACTTTATGTACACCGCCCTGAGTTGTACAAAATAAAGCAGGTTATCAATCTAGTAATTAATAATACAAAAATCAATTGAGGTAACAAATAAAGGTAGTTGCAAGAATAGTCAAATGAACAGGTGCCTACATTTTGAATACCTGTTCAAATAACGCTACCTTGACCGCTTTCTGGAAGGATAATAGGAACGGTGTGAGATGCGCCTCCAGAAGCAGGGTGTAGTGGACATGACAGAGAAGTTCTGCCTTGATGTCCATGTCTCCTTCACTTATTGTTGTGGTATGATCAATGATGCTCTGAGGAATGTCCTCCAGTTGGGAGAGTGGCATGGTCTCCTCCGGGTTTTCAGAATATTTCTGGAAGACATAGGAATTCTGGAAATGCACCCTTTGGTGCTCAAAGCTTCATATAGTAATAGAGAAGGATTGACATTCCCTTGTGCATATGATTTATTTATTTATTAATAAATTTGTATGCCGCCCATCTTCCTCAGTGGGTGACTCATATGATGGGAAAGTTCAGTTCTCTTGTTACTGACGGCTCGTTGAATTCTATAGAGAGGTCAGATAGATAATTGTGCATAGTCCATGGATGTCTGGATCACAAGGCCACACTGCTTCTCCTGGTCCAAGGATGGCTGCTCCTTCACCACCACTTTTTTCCTCTCCAGTGTACTTCTAACTCCTCCTGTTTTGAGGAGCTAAGATGGTGAGAGCCATGGTCTTTGCGTTTCTACCATATATAAATATGTGGCATAGTCCGGAGGGTGGCCGTTTTTCTATTTTCCTCTCCCCAGGCCCAACTACGTGGTTCCTGCCATCTGGTAGAGTGCTTGGTTTGGGCAAATGCTGGTCAATGGGAGGTTTGGTTGGAACCTCAGCACCATTTGCCAAATGCCTTCAGATGTTACATTCTTGACTGAGGAGTTGGCTTTCCCCGGGGGGGTGGGAGCTGTTAGCAGAGAAGTTGGACAGTTATTGCGGGCCCAGGATTTATCCAGTTTTCTTGCTTGTGTGGATTTCCCTGTCCTCTTTTGGAAAGACCACGCTGTCCTTGGCGCAAAGGAGGCAATTGCAGGAGTGCCATATGTCTCTCCAATCGAGCTGTTTTTGCCTCAGTACATCAAGTAATTGCGAATGGTGCCAGGTTTCTCTATTTCAGAAGGAGACAGGGCAGGGAGTTGTGGGGGCTTTCAGAGCGTGTTGCTCCCTCAAAACCAAGGAAAGTTGAGCCATTTGGTGGTGAACACAAATCCAGAATTTTTCCGGTAGAGGGTTGTCTTCCTGATTTTCCACTAACATGGGTTAATGAGGGTCTCGCGTAGAGACAAGGAAGTTTTCCTCTTTTTTTCCTCCAAGTCATTTGAACAGAAAGAGCAGTTTCTTTTATTTTCCCTTTCCTTTTCTCTCTTTCCCCGCCCTTCTTCCTTTCCCCTTTCCTTTCCTTTCTTTTCCTTCCATTTCTACTGCCCCACTCCAAATGACTCAGATGGTTTCACAAAACTAAAAAACCACAGCAAGAGCCAATTGGGTGTAGTGCAATGTTTCTCAGCCTTGGCAACTTTAAGATGTGTGGACTTCAACTCCCAGAATTCCCTGGCCAGGCCCCTTGAGTTGGCGAGGGACTGGGTTGTTTCGTTGCCTGGATTCCTTGCTGCTTTATGAGTGGTGGTGTTTATTTATATGGTACTTTGTTTTTTGGGAGGTGGCAGGGGGTGTTTGAGTCAGTACTGACTCCAGGTGACTGCCTTGGCCAAGTCCCTGCGGTTTTCTTGGCAAGATTTCAGAAGTGGCTTGCCATTGCCTGCTTCCCGGGGCTGAGAGAGAAGGACTGGCCCAAGGTCACCCAGCTGGCTTTGTGCCTAAGGCGGGACTAGAATTCACAGTCTCCCAGTTTCTCCCAGTGCCTTTGACCACTCACCAGTGTTTCTCAACTTTGGCAACTTTAAGACGTGTGGAATCCACACATTTTAAAGTTGCCAAAGTTGAGAAAAGCTGGTCTAGTTGCTAAAGAGAGGAGACTCTCTAAACTGGAACTGAATAAAACCCTGACCCACCGTTCTGCCTTTTGTTCTTCAGCCCTTTGCCCCATCTTCTGTCTAGATAGTAGGGATTGTTAAGTCTATTTAATATCAGAAATTCTAATTTTCAGTGCCTTTCTTGCCTTAATATTATTCTTGGTTACCCAGAGCTGTGTTTAGTTTAGTAATCTTGATATTGGTGTAGTGGTTAAGGCACCGGGCTAGAAATCAGAAGACTGCGAGTTTTAGTCTTGCCTTCTGTGTGAAGCCAGCTGGGAGACTTGGGGCAGGGAGGAGGAGGCAAGGCAAACCACTTCCAAAATCTTGCCAAGAAAACTGCAGGGACTAGTCCAGGCAGGCGCCAGGAATCAAAACTGACTCAAAGGGAACCCCCCCCACCCCCAAAAAACTTGAAATTAAATCTCAAGGTGTATGTTTGAATTTGATACACTTAATAATTACTAAGGAGTTATTTTCCCTTGGAAAACAACCCTGAATTTAAGGCAATCCCACCCCTCCATCCAAACAAAAAATGGAAGGGGGAAAAGCGTAAACAACAGACAAAAAATCCTTTCTAAAGGCCAGGTTAACCATCTGCATGTACCAACCATCCTTTCTCATATTCAAATCTATCACTTAAAAATAGACAAGGACTCATATGTAAGTGCTTGCATGCACTCTCCTCTCTTGCAGCAAAAAAAGAGGGAAAAAACAGAATGGAGATTTGGGAAGGAGAAGGCACAGGTACAGTAGGAAGAGAAG